GTCAAACTAGGAGTATAGAGCGGCGAGGGGGGGGGGATGGAAGGGTGAAAGAGGCTTAGGGAGTCCCGGCGCGGAGAGCTGCGCTGTAGACTTACCCCAAGAGGCCTGAGGATAGTAGTCCCTTTTCAAGTTTTGAGAGACTTTTATTTTATCAGTTGGTCTCATCAGAGACTTGCAATTATCAAAAGGAGGCTAAGGCAGGAGGATCGTAAATTTAAGGCCAGGCTGTGCTACAAAGGGAACTTCAGACTAGCTTGGCTAGTAAGATCCTGTCTCAAAACAACTGCTGAGCCATCTCTCCAGCCCTTATTGATGCTTTCTAGACAGGATCTCCCTATAGGTCCCAGCTGGCCTGGAACTCGCTGTGGAGACCAGACTAGGCTCTAGCTCACTGAGATGTAAAGCCAAATTCTCCCCTAGGAGACTCATGTGCTCTTTTGGCTCCCAGGCCCACATGGCCCTAACTCTTGACTGACAAGGCCCGAAGCCAACACCATGCATTCCATTTGGGTTTTTTTTTTTTTTTTTTTTTTAATAGTTTATGGAGTCTGAAAGAGAGTTACTTACAAAGGCATATACTCATGGGCTCTTTCCCCCGTATGTCTCGCCTGAGCTTTTGAGATCCTCTGCCTCCCCAAGATGGCAAATTTTAGCTGCTTCCCTTGCTTAGCATCTGTCCTTAGACCCTTCCCCTCTGCCTAGGGAGTCTCTTGGGGGTTCAGTGCTAGTTCTCTTGGAGGACAGGCCGACCCAACTGAGGTATGCCTGCCGCTGCCTTCCAGGTGCTGGAACTAAAGGCGTGTGCCACCACACCCAGCTTTGGATTGATTTTTCTAATGTTTATTCCCCTGAATCATTTTTTATTACAGGCTTAAAATAAATTTTGATTTCTCCATTTAGTGTAAGCTTTCTTTAGTTTTCTTTAATTCAATTATTCAATTCTTGAGTTCTCCAACTTTCATTCTGTTTAAGAATGAGGGGCTAAAAAAAAAAAAAGAATGAGACGCTAATGAGGCTGGAGCTGAGTGTGTAGAGCAGTGTTGTTGTTACCTGGCAGCTTTACTTTAGTGTGAATAGAAGTGGGACCAGATGTCCTAAGCCCCTTGAAGGCCAGAGTGCAGAATGCTTTCTGTGAGTGATTGTAAGAGGCTGTCTAGTTTCTCCAGATAGACCATTTAGCTCTTTTAAAGTACTGCAATTCTTTTTCTTCTCCCCCCCCTCCCCTTCTGCACATAGGAAGGATTTTAAGGGGCTTGATGGGAGGCAAAGATGTGCCATGTAGACATATAGGTCTTTAGCTCATTTCACATCTCTTTCTGTCATTCCTGGTGACTGGACCTAGAGTGTTCTCATGTTTCTCCTAGGCAGATGACTCCTCCTCTGTTGCAGCTCCCTCTGTGTTCTTTCTAGGCTCATGTTTCCTCTGCTCTGTTTATAAACAATTCAGTTCCTAGCACCCATGTTGGGTAGCTCACAACTGCCTGTAACTGCAGCTCCAGAGGATTGAGCACCTTCTGTACTCTGAGGGCACCTATACTCACAAGTTCAGGTTCACACTCAGACATACAAACAGACACACATAATTAAAAATAAAATCTTAGCAAAACAATTACAAATTATTAAAAAACTTTCTTTGAACCAGGTGTGGTAGTGCACACCTTTAATCCCAGCACATGGGTGGCAGAGGCAGGTGGTTCTCTTGTGAGTTCAAGGCCATCCTGCTGTACATAGTTCTAGGCCAGCAGGGGCTACAGGGAGACCCTGTCTAAAAAAGAAAAAAAAAAACTTGATGAATGTTCATTAAGTAATGCAGCAACTCTTTAGCTCTCTTCCCACCTCTAGTTCTGATTATGTATGTTGGTGGGCTTATTTAACAACTGACTAACCACTAATGACAGACTCTCCCCCTGCCACCCCCTTCTTTTGGGTAGCTATTCCTCAAACTGGAACTGCTGCCACCACTAACACCCTGTGTTTAAACTTTGCCTGGTTAATTCCTTTAAGTCAGATCATGAGACACCTTGCTCACACCTTGCCCTTTGTGGTTTTAGGCACTTTGGATTGATGGTCAGCTGCGTGGTTTTGTGAGCCTTTGCTGCATCCTTCAGCTCACTCCTCTGCAGGCCTCAGCTTTGAAGAAGAGTCTGCGTGTGCACAGTCTTCCTGTTCTACTCAAGTTGGGGAGAAGCAGAGGTCTCTGCTGATGGCTTTCTCTACAAGATCTTCCATTGAGTATGTCTTCCACTTCAGGCCTGGATGTAGCTGCTGCTGCTTGGGGCAGAGATGGAGAAACTGTTCTGCATAGGTGGCTTAGTGGGTGAGGAAGACCAGAATAAAGGTCTTTGGCCAACTTCATTCTAGTGTGTCTTGTATCTCACCTTTATTCTGGCCCTATGATTGGAGAACCAGTAAGGCCGGGTGAAGGCCTTCCTGATCTTTCCTACCCAGCCATGCTAGATCACAATTTGTTCATTTATTTTGTTCTTTATTTTTTTAGCGTGTCACTTTTAAATCAGCGTGGTCCTAGGTGGAAAACAGGTTACAATTTTTGCCCCCGTTTTATTGAAGTATAAGTCATGTGTCATGTACATTTTTTTTTTTTGTATATTCAAAGCTATGTGCACCTATCAACAGTTTTTTGAACATTTTGTTTGGATGGATTCACATAGTACGAGTCCTTTGTGTACGACTTCTAAAATTTAGATAATGTTATTTAAATTTTACCTATGCTATAGCACATATAGCATATATTTGTCCTTCCCCCCTAAGTTGTGGTGAAGTATACATAATACAACATATACTGTTTTAACCATTTTTAAGTGTGCAGCTCAGTGGCATTAAATATATTCATGGTGTTGTGCAATCATCAGCTGTCGCCAGAATGCTGTAATGCTCTCAGCTTGGAATGAGATACACATCAAAGAGTGCTTTCCTGCCTCTTCCCCTGCAGTGCCTGGCTGGTGTTTTGGTGTAGGTGACACAGGGAAGGAGGCAAAGGTATAGAATGCATGCTTCAGGAAAGCAGCAAGAAACTTGAGGCAGGGGTTCATAGGTGGTTTTGGATTGTAGAGCGCACCTAAAATACAAAGTCTGCAGAATCTTTTCCCCAAAGTAATGCACGTGTGCTCAGTCTGTTCCATTAAAAATAAGCCTTTGGAAGAATACTAGATTTACAGAAAACTTGAGAGTTCTTGGGCACTTCTTGTTTTTACCGATTGCCAACATCTCAGTGTTACCAAGCAGATTGTCAAGACTCAGAAGCCAGCATTTATAGGTTACTGTTAATTGGGTTCCAGACTTTATTTGGATTTCACTAATTTTTCCATGACTATCTTTTTTGAGATCCAGTCCAGGGTATTACATTGTATTTGCTTATCTCCCTAGTCTTCTCCTGTTAAAGTTTCTTAGTCTTTTTTTAAAAAAATTGTGGGTGTGTGCATGCATGTGTGCAGGTTTATGTGCCATGGCATGTGTGTGGTGGTCAGAGGACAACTTTCTGGAGTCGATTCCCTCCTCTCACCTTTACCTGGGTTTTGGGGATCCAGATTAGGGTATTAGGTTTGCATTATCGAGTGGCAAGTTTTTTGCTTGCTGGACTGTTTTCCCAGCTTCCTTTTCCTTGTCTCTTTTTTTAAAGTATATTTAAAAATTCCTCTAAAATTTATTTTATGTGTATGAGTGTTTTGCCTGCAAGTGTACCACAAGCATGCAGTGACTGCAGAGGCCAGAAGAGGGCATTGGATTCCCTGGAACTGGAATTAGGAATGGTGGGTTCTGGGAACTGAACCCAGGTCCTCTGCAAGAGCAGCAAGCGCTCTTAACCACTGAGCCATCTCTCCAGTATGTTTATTTCTGTGTGTATGTCTGAGTGTACCGTGCAGGTGTTGGTGCCTTTACCCATGGAACCCTCTTTCTGGCCCTTGTTTTACTACCTTGACAGCCTTTTGACTATTGGCCAAGTACCCTATAGCGTGTTCCCAGCCTGGGTTTCTATATTTTTCTGATTGGTTAAACCCATAACTGTGCATATAACTTCGAGTGTTACACAGACAAACCAATAGGCTTATTACGAATACGTATTTGAAAGCGCATGCTGGCCTTTATTCAAGATGAGTTAAAATTATACATTGTAGCCCAATAGTGGGAGAGCAGTCAAGTTATGTTATCACTATTTCCTTATATAGTAAGGGTAATATTGCTGTTTTTTTCATTTGTGTGTATGTGGTGTGTGTGTTTCTGCATGTGTACATGTGTGCTTGAGTGTGGCAGCCAGAGCTTGATGTCAACTGCCTTCCTTAATTGCTCTGCTTTATTCATCAAGAGGCAGGGTCTCTATTGGCCAACTGCCCTATAGGCCAAGTACTCTATAGTGTGTTCTCCAGGCTGGGGTTCATTCCAGAACTCAGAGCTTGCTAATTTGGCTAGTCTAGCTAGCCAGCGCCTCTTGAGTTTCCTGTCCCTGCCTCCTTCCCACTGAGATTACAGGCAGGGCTGCCATGCCACCCAGATTTGCTTGGACTAGATCCAAGCTCTGGTCCTCACGTTTGCCTGGCAAGTGTGTTTACCCACTGAGCTGTCTAATCTTTGAATATTCTTGAAAAATATAAAGTACCTAACATTGGTATATCTTGAAAAATATGTACAGAAATGAAATTAGATGCTCTCAGTAAAAAAAAATGAATTAATGCATTCCATATTATGTACATACTTTAAAATATTGTACATTATTTAAAGCATGGCTAGTGTCAATTTAGAAAGGCAATAGTGTTGAATTCATTGAGGGTATTTGTTTCGTTTGTATTTTTGTGTACTAGGCTGTGGTGTAAAATATATGTAGTAGACAAAGTCTCGGCCTTCCTGATCTGCAAACATCTTTCCCCTGGTATGCCTGTGATGTTACATGACGGGGCAAAAGATGCTGAAGATGTGATTTAGGTTACTAGTCAGTTAACTTTAAAATCGGTTATCCTGTGCTGCCTCTACGGGCCCCAAATGATTACATGACCTCTTAAAAGCAGAACGTTCTCCTGACTGAGGGTAGAAAAAGACGTTAATTCAAAGCAAGGAAGTGAAAAGGCTGTTGCTGGGTTTGAAGATTCAGGGAACCATGAATCAAGAAACCCAGGCAGTCCTCAGAAGCTGAAAATAATGGTGTCCGGCATAGAACCAGCTTTATTCCCTCAGCTGCACACATGTGACCATCACAACAAATCCTTGAGTTCTCTAAGAAAATGATGCCGGTTGTCGAAGCGCCACCATCATCTCCTGGGTTTTGATGCTTGACTTTCTGCTGATCTATCTCCCTTAGCCCTTTTCCTCTTTTTCTAGCCTATGTAGCATGGAGCTTCCTGGTAGTATAGGTCATGGTTAGGGTGGGGAAAAAGATAAATTACTGAAATATGACATATAAAGGCCTAATAATTAAAAAAAAATGCATTTGTGTCTGTATGTGGGTATGTGCATATGAGTGCAGATGCTTCTGGGGGCCAGAGGTGTGGAATCCCCCAAAGCTGGAGTTAGGAGACATTGTGAGTCTTACAACATGGGTTACTGGGAACTAAACTTGGGTCTTCTGCAGTAGCAGTATGTGTTAACCATGGAGCTATCTCTCCAGCACCAGTGTTGGCTTTTTTAAATAGGATTTCTTATAGTGCAGGATGGACTTGAAATCGCCATGTAGCTGAAGATGACCTTGAACTCCTGATCCTCCTGCCTTCACCTGGGCAAGGATTAAACACGTGTAGTACCACAGTTTTATGCTGTGCTGGGAATCAAACCCAGGGTCTTGTGCATGATACCAACTGTACTACTCCCCAGTCCAGAAGACCTAAAAAGAAGAGCATGTCACAACAAAAGGTGGGAAAGTAAATCTGATCTTTGTGTCAGAACCAGGCGCCTGACATTTTCACTTAAGGTTTTGAGCCACTCAGCATTTAAAGCATTTTTCCTTTATTTTTTCTAAATCATTGGTTTGGGATTGTCTCTGTCTTGTTTGGGGGTTTTTAAATATTCTCTAGGGTTTAGTGTTCTTTTCTCAAAGGAACTTAGTTTCATTCCTTTAATTCTTGTTAGTTGCAATTTTTTGTTTTGAATTTCAAGTGGTATTAGAAGTCTACTTTTTAGATAGGCAAATACTTCTCTACAACTTTTAACATATATGTGGCTCTCCATACAGTAAAGATTATCACAGCTATATGGTTTAATCAGTCTTAAGTCATTTAAAATTTTTTTTCTAAACTTAAAAAATGTTATATTTGCCAGGAGTGGTGGTGCACGCCTGTAGTCCCAGCACTAGGGAGGCAGAGGCAGGCAGATCTCTGTGAGTTCTAAGGCCAGCCTGGTCTACATAGTGAGTTCCAGGGCAGCTGGGGCTACAGGGAGCAAGAAGAACCCCCTCCCAAAAAAAGTTATATTTGACAATTTTGTGCATGTATACAATGTGTTGTGTACATACCCATTCCCATTCCCCCTGTTCCAGTCTGGCAGTTCCCTTTTCCCAACTAGTGTCCGCCCTTTCCTGTCACTTTTTAAAAAAAAATATTTTATTTATTATTTTATGTGTGTGAGTGTATTGCCTGCATGTATGTGAGTGCACCCACGTCGTGCAATGCTGTGGAGGTCAGAAGAGGTTTTTGGATTCCCCTGGAACTGGAGTTAAGGACGGTTTGTAGCTGGCATGTGGGTTCTAGGAATCAAACTCGGGTCCTCTGCAAGAGCAGTCACTGCTCCCAACTGCTGAGCCATCTCTCCAGCCCCCATTCCTGTCACTTCTTTTGTGCAGGTAGGCACAGCTGCTGCCAGTGCATGATTACATTGGCCGTAGCCTATCTAGAAGTCAGCATTTCATAGCACTCCCCATCCTCCAAGTCTTACAATCTTTCCTCCTCCTTTTCTTTGATGTTCCCTGGGCCTTGGAAGAGGTGATATAGATGTCCTGTTTATGACTTGTTCTGTGACACGATTCCTGGGGAGATGTGAACAAACATCTATTCTCCAAAGACAGAGAGCTCATGACAGACCAGAGTAAGAATACCACAAAGTTGAATTTGGTGAACTGATGAGTTGTTGGGGTTACTTACAGGAACAGAAATGACTTGAAGACAGTTGTATAGACAAAAGCCCACCTAGCACGGATGAACAGCTCATGAAAGCTGGACATGTGGCGTGTACTGCCCAACTTGTAAGCAGCTTGACAGGTTGGAGAGTGTCTTTTCCAGGTAGCTCAGCTGTTCTGAGGGTCTCCAGGCAGCCAGGCTTGTGGAGTCTCAGCAGTCCTTCCTGAAGAAGGGAGGGGGTGGGGACTGGTGGCTGGATATTCTGATCAGTTTCAGGGACTTCCAGAAGCTTTTAAGCTG